TCAGGTTCATAACGATGTTCTTTCATATAACGTAAACATGATTGAACTGTTGTTTCACGTTCAACAACAATTGAATCCATATTACGACCAAGAACTTTTGTTATGGCCATTTGAAAACGTTTATGAGTTGGTTCACATAGATCAATCAAACGACCATACTAAAAAGATAATTTAATTATTCAGTTTGTTTATGTAAATAATTGTTTAGATAAAAAAGAAATTCTTAACATACCACGCCTGGAAATTGTTTGAGATTTTCAATAAGTTCTGCACGTCGTTGTGCACGAGTTGTTTCATTTCGATCAGACTATTTTATAAATAAATATTTTTACTTAATCTTATTCAAAATCAAAAAATAGAAATTGATTTACTCTTGCTTCACCAATTTCTTTATTAACTTGATCAAGTTCTTCTTCAAGTTCAGTACAACGTCTTCGACCATCAGTTACTTCTCGTTCCAATAACTGAGCATCGGACTGTTTATCCTTAAGTTCTTGTTCAAGATCACTAAAAAATTTAATTTGCATTTCATAGATTTGAATAAAACAAAATAATGATTATTTTTTTTACACTATATAACCAGCTAATTTATCTATTTTTCCATTTAATTCGTCATTACGTAATTCTGTTTGCTGAATACGTGCCATATGATCTCTTTGACTTCGTTGTTCTTGTTCGAGATTTGTTTTATCAACTTGTTGTTGACGATCAATTGAATCATATTCTTCAGAAAATTGTGTCATTTTTTTTGCTGCTTCTTCTTTTAAATGTCGATATTCTTTTATCTTTATAGAAGATAAAAAGTGTTTGTTTTCGTGTAATTATTTATTAACGAAAATTATCTTACTTGATCTTCTTCAAGAGCTAAATTACGACCAGCATTTTGTGATTCATCTTGTAATTTATCTTCATATTCTTTTTGTAAACGTTCAACTTCACGTAAATCAGATTCATATTTTTCAATTTCTTCATCATGTGCACCATGAGTTTTTTCAGCAGCTAGAAGAGTTTTCCTAAAACGCAAAAAATCGTTCAGAAACATTAATGCAAGCTAAAGGCTGAACTTCATTATTCCTGTCATAATATCTTGAGGGTGGGTGTGGGTCTGGTCGGGTTTGACTGTAAGTATTATATTTATTTGTAATTAACATCCACACCCACACCTTCACCCTCACCCTCACCGTCACCCACACCTACACCCCATATTCAATTATAATAATATCTTACTTTGCAAGATCAAGTTTTTTTTTGATGATGAACAGAATTTTCTTTTGCTTTAATATAAGTTGGACGATTTTTATTAATTTGTGTTTCCTAAATAAAATCAAAAACACGTATGAATATTTTCTATTCGATTCAATAAAAATTCCAATTACTAATTCTTTTATTTTCTGTTCATCAGTTGCAAGTTCTTTATTATAAATTGCTAATTCTTTTTTCTTTGATTTTATTTCTTCATCTGATACTTCTTTACGTTTTTCTAATTTTGAAACTTCATCTTTTTTCTTTTCAACTATTTCACGTTTTTCAATTAATTCTTGTTTATTATGAAATAATTGAAATAATTTTAATTGTAATTGAAGATCATCCTAAAAATATTAAAATAGAAATTTTGATTTAATTAAAAATTAATTTTATCTCTTTACATATTGAGTTTTTAATGCAGCATATTTTTGTGCAACTTCTTTTTCTAATCGAACTTCCTTTTTTTGTTTTTCTACACCTTTTTTCTTTTGAAAATTAGCATGTGTATCTTGTTCAGCTTTATTTTTTTCCTGCTTAGCTTGCTCATATTCTTCACGTAATTCTCCACTACGACTTAATTCTTCAAACATAGCCGTAAATTCTTTTGGTGTTTTCATTGCAATTGATTCAACTTGACCTTG